GAGACTTCTGGGGCTGTTCAGGAGAAGAAAAATCGCCCCTCCTTTGCCCCTGCCTCTCTGCCACCAAGTCCTCCTCTGTCCCTCCACCCTGGGGCTCGGTCTCTTTGGGGGATGAAATCTCCTGGCCCCTAGATCCTGCAACTTTCACTTCAGCGGGAAGGACTTTTTCCTGTCCGCCGTACGGTCTAACACTGACTCTAAACCCGGTCCGAACAGGAGATCACCTGAGAAGGGAATGGCACATAATTTTATTGTAGATGTGATGTCCCCCTGCCATGTCTTAAGCCACAGGGCCCTACGAGCTGAGTTGGTTAGAGCCGCTGACCTAGCCCCCAATCTCACCGATTCTGCGGAAGCATCTGCGATGTACCCCACTCACTGCAGCAAAGTCTCAAATGATGCCAGGATTTTGTCTTTGGGGGAACCGGCCACAATGTGGGCTTGTAACTGTGTCAGCCAGTACTCCATGTTCCTGGCTACAACAGTCGTGGCCATGGCAGGCTTTAAGTTCGACAGGGTTGAATCCCACACCTTTTTAAGGAGGGATTCAGCTCTCCTGCCCAATAAGTCTGGCAAAACCCCCATGTCCTTGAAGGCCAGATCCATTTTCCTGGCCATCTGGGAAAAAGCTGCGTCTAATTTGGGATTTTTATTCCATAAGGCCAGAGGGTCCTCGCTAAATGGAAACCTCCGTTTAAGTGCCTTGGAAAAGAATGGCTCTCTCTCAGGGTCCTGCCATTCCTTCCTTATGGTGTCAACCAACACCTCGTGCACGGGAAACACCTTATGGTTCTGTTCCTCCATACCCTGGTACATTTGGTCGTGCAAGGATAGAGGTTTAACCACTTCTTTAATGTCCAGGGTATCGTAAATTGCCCCTAAAAGGTCGTCCACTTCCTCGAGAGATAATTTGTACCTGGAGGGATCTCTGGAATCCTCTGAGGGGCCCTCCCCTGCTGACTTCTCCTCCGACTGGGAATCTAGGGAGGGTTCTTCTTCTCCTGTCTCGGGGAGCTCCCTGCTCCGACTAGTTATCGGGGCTACTGGCTGGGGGCCGCCGCCTGGGGAATGGTTAAACTTTCCATTAAATTTTTAAACAAGTCAAAGGTACTGGTCAGCTCCTTCACCGACCTGACCAGGTCTCCCTGAGCTGGCCTCTCTTCGTTCACTAACCCCTCAATGCAGGGCCCACAAAGAACCTTCTTCCATGACTCCTTTAGAACAGTTCTACAAGACGGACACTTCCGTCTAGGTTCCTGATGTTTTAGTTTTTCCCGGGCTTTACCCTGAAAGACAAAAAGGAGGGCAGAAAGAGCCTATCACCCATTGGCCACCTGTTACTACCCTCCCCCCCCCTTCCCTGGCCTGGCAGGGCCTAAGGGACTGACTCCTCCCGACAGATCCCCCCCTGCCCTGGACCCTCTGACCACAAGAGGGTCCGGGAACACCCCAGGAGCTAGGGGACCACAGGTAGGGGAGGACTCCTCTGAGTCACCTTACCTGGGTCTGGCTGGTGCCGGCCTCGCCTGGTCCCGGTGCCTCTGCGCCCGACATTGACAGGAGAGTGGCAGCCAATCCAAGCGGTAGCCTGTCCCCCAGGCTCTGTTCCACGATGCACCGCACATCTTTGCCGCCGGGCCCGGTGTATAGGGCCACGGCCGGAAGCGGAAGCCGCGACCCCGGGAGAAGCCCCGCCCCTTCCGCCGGATCGCCGCCCCCCGACATCCGGCCCAGCGTGCTCCACTCACAGCCAGTGCGGGAAGGAGTGGGACTCCTCCCCGATCTTCACCAGATCCCACCGAGGCCACCCCGACACCCGCAACTAACCGGAGGGGGGAGGGGGCGGCCGACAGGTTAGTGCTTTCACCCTGTCACCCAGGGCTCACACCTTCTGCCACTGCAGCATCCCAGGGGAGGATAGCAGCCGGTTCTCCGGCCTTCACTGCCCGCTGCACTGAGTCCCACCGCCAGCTCTCCGGCCCCGGACCCACTCCATGAGTCAGGTACCACTGTCCCCAGACAGCACCCTGAGAGCTTCCTTAAGATGTCTCCGCACCGGAGGAAACACCAGAACTGAGGTCGGAGGGGAGCGACAGACTTTTATTTTAGGGTGGAGGGGTTTCCTCAGGTGGGGAGGAGCCGAGGTCTCTCAACGTGCTGTCCTGAAAGACGAAAGGAAAAAAAAAAACAATTTTTCTCACCGATTACCCCAAAAACAAATACATCTTAGCAATAACTGTTCGTAAATCACTTTCTCTACACCACTACAAAGCATACGTTAAATGTTAAACTGTATACAGGAGTCCAAACTTTTATTTTTTTAGTTTTGTATAGACTGGGGTATAAAAACTGGTTTTTAGTGCGGTCTATGCCCCTGTTCAGAAGAATTCATCCACACTATACAGCACAGTACAGAAAGTGATGTAAAACCCCAGGGTTGTCATAGAAATGAAGCTAAGGGGAAATCTAATGGGGACACCTGTTCTGGTGACAACTGTCTGAAAGGAGGCAACCTCTCACTTAAAAAGTAGAACGTCACCCAAACGTTGTGCTTGTTTGCATCCTCGCCAGTCCACTGGCACATTTGGCACTTTTTTTTGGGGGGGGGGGGGGGGGGAGCAGGTACCTGGTATTTCCTTCCTCCAAGCTCCCTTCCTCCCGCAGCCTTCTGGGACACATCACAGGTCCCATAAGACTGCGGGACTTGTGCATGCACAGTAGGAAAAGACTGTGAAGCCCTTCCCTTACCTAAGATGCCGGCTTCTGCACCCAAAGCAGATTGAAGAATTGGCTTGGGCGTGGACATCGTTGGATTCCTGGACCGGTAAGTGTCCTTATACACTGCTCAAACAAATTAAAGGAACACTCTGAAAACTCATCAGATCTCAAAGGGGAAAAATATCATGCTGGATATCTATGCTGATATGGGCTGGGTAATGTGTTAGGAACGTAAGGATGCCCCATCGTTTCATGGAAATGAAAATTATCAACCTACAGAGGACTAAATTCAAAGACACCCATAAAATGAAAGTGAAAAAATGATGCAGCAGGCTAGTCCATTTTGCTGAAACTTCATTGCAGCAACTCAAAATGGTACTCAGTAGTTTGTATGGCCCCCACGTGCTTGTATGCATGCCTGACAATGTCATGGGCATGCTCATAATAAAACGATGGATGGTGTCCTGGAGTATTTCCTCCCAGATCTGGACCAGGGCATCACTGAGCTCCTGGACAGTCTGAGGTGCAACCTGGAAGCATCGGATGGACTGAAACATGATATCACAGAGGTGTTCTATTGGATTTAGGTCAGGCGAGCATGGGGACCATTCAACGGTATCAATTCCTTCATCCTCCAGGAACTGCCTGCATACTCTCGCCACATAAGGCCAGGCATTGTCGTGCACCAGGAGGAACCCCAAGACCCACTGACAATGGGTACAAGGATTTCATCCCGATACCTTATGGCAGTCAGGATGCCATTGTCTAGCCTGTAGGTGTCTGTGCGTCCCTCCATGGATATGCCTTCCCAGACCATCACTGACCCACCACCAAAATGGTCATGCTGAACGGTGGTACAGGCAGCATAATGTTCTCCACGACTTCTCCAGACCCGTTCACGTCTGTCACGTGCTCAGGGTGAACCTGCGTTCATCTGTGAAAAGCACAGGGTGCCAGTGGCAGACCTGCCAATTTTGGTGTTCAATGGCAAATGCCAAGCAAGTTCTATGGTGCCGGGCAGTAAGCACAGGGCCCAACAGAGGACACTGGGCCCTCAGGCCACCCTTACGAAGTCTGTTTCTGATTGTTTGGTCAGAGACATTCACACCAGTGGCCTGCTGGAGGTCATTTTCTAGGGCTCTGACAGTGCTCATCCTATTCCTCCTTGCACAAAGGAGCAGATACCAGTCCTGCTGATGGGTTAAGGACCTTCTACAGCCTGTCCAGCTCTCCTAGAGTGACTGCCTGTTTCCTGGAATCTCCTCCATGCTCTTGAGACTGTGCTGGGAGACACAGCAAACCTTCTGGCAATGGCACATATTGATGTACCATCCTGGAGGAGTTGTGCAACCTCTGTATGGTCCAGGTATCGCCTCATACTACCAGTAGTGACACCGACCCTAGAAAAATGAAACCCTGATGAACAACAGTCAGAAAAGATGAGTAGGGAAAAAAATGTCAGTGGCCCCCAGCTGTAAAACCATTCCTGTTTTGGGGTTAGTCTCATTGTTACCCATCTAGTTCACCTGTTGTTAATTTCATTAACACCAAAGCAGCTGAAACTGATTAACAACCCCCCTCTGCTAATTAACTGACCAGATCAATATCCCAGGAGTTTAATTGACTTGATGCTATACTCTGATTAAAAAAAGTGTTCCTTTAATTTTTTTGAGCAGTGTATTAAAAGTCAGCAGCTACAGTATTTGTATCTGCTGACTTTTTCTTTTCTTTTGAGGAGACTGGCGCTCCTCTTCAAGAGATCCCCTCCATTTCTGCTATGACTGCTACAGGAAGTGAGGGAAAATGTCCCCAGCAAGACACACAGAAAATACAACATTTGGTAACGATTTCCTACTATATCATAAACTAAGAAATGTTTTGGCTTTACATACACTCACAGGGATTTTCAACACCATCAAGGTACATTACAATGGCATTTACTATTTGTGTAAAGCATTTATATTTAAAGAATCATCAATGTTTTGTTGAATATTAGCTCCACTGATTTTTCCAAGTCCATGCATTTTGCTACATTTTTCAGTGCAGGCAAAATCGATATGACAAAATCCACTGGTTTCAATAAAAGACCTATTTCCAGGAACACATCTAAAGTGAAAACGCCCTACATTTTTTGAGTAATACAAGTTCAACAGATAATCAGCTTGAAAAATTACCCACAGGCAACACAAATGTAACTACATTATATTGCCAGTCAAACGTGCGAAAAGTTTAAAAATACAATTAATAGATGCTTAATCTTGGACTATTTAAATAAAACTTGCCTTAGCATAAGGAGATATGAAACTGGTAATGCACACAAGGCCAGCATCGGCAAAAAGCTTAGCAACTTCAGCAATACGACGGATATTTTCTTCTCTGTCTTCTTGAGAGAAGCCAAGATTTTTACTGAGCCCATGACGAATGTTGTCTCCATCTAAAGTATAGCATGGGATACCATGGCACACTAAATATTCCTCCAGAGCCATGCTTACTGTCGTCTTTCCAGCACCAGACAGGCCTGAAACAACAGAAAGAATGCAATCAATAGTATATTTCATTTAGTATTGTTTCCTGGCATTTTTAATTTTAGCTGAGCCAGGCACCAAAAAAAAGTGAGCCAGTTTTCATAATCAAATGAGCCATAAGATCAATAAAAGACATAATTACACCAGCCAGCCATAACATTATGATGACCCACCTAAAATTGAGTAGGTCTCTACTAAATCCCCTTCCCTTACTTCACTGATAACAGATCTTAACTTCCAATGCGATATGGAAAAAAGATCTGCCCTAAACAATTCTACCTATCACACATTTAAGCTCCATTGGTCTCGATGGTTACAAAACCCAAACTGCTCCGTAAAAGTCTGATAAATTCACTATAAAATACTGTGACCCATCTGCCTAGACTGGTGCACTTACCCTTCCCTTCCATCTCCCCTTTCCCACCTCCCCTATTTCCCTACTCCTTGTTCTCCACCCCCTATAGATCTCTTCTACAACCTTACATGGTTCAGATTGTACTGAGCATACCTCTCATGCTAACACCACTTATTCTAGTATTACCCCCAGCCAAATGGTGGGGAAAATATTGTTTTGTTTACTTTCCTGTACTACATTATTTTCTAACTGAACCGTATTTACCTACAATGTCTTGTTACTAAAACTTCAATAAAAACTATTTAAATTTAAAACTGAGTAGGTCCCCTCTTTTTACCTCAAAACAGCCCCTTCTTCCACCAAAACAGCCCTGACCCACTGAGGCATGGACGCCACTAGACCTCTGAAGGCATGGTATGGTATCTGGCAGCAAGTTGTCAGTAGCAGATCCTTTAAGTCCTGTAAGTTGGGAAGTGGGTCCTCCATAGATCAGATTTGTTTTTCCAGCACATACCACAGATGCTCGATTGAACTGCGCTCTAGAGAATTTGGAGGCCATGGCAACACCGTAAACTCATCATTGTGTTTCTAAAACCATTCTTGAACCATTTTTGCAGTGTGGCAGGGTGCATTTATCCTGCTAAAATAGGCCACTGCCATCAGGGAATACGGTTTCCATGTAGGGGTGTACTTGGTCAGCAATAATGTTTAGGTAGGTGGTATGTGTCAAAGTAACATCCACATGAATGACAAGACCAAGGTTTCACAGCAGAACATTGTCTAAAGCAGAATGCTGCCTCCGCCGGCTAGCTTTCTTCGCATAGAGCATAATGGTGCAATTTTCCCCAGGTAAGCGATGCACACACACCCAGCCATCCACATGATAAAACAAAACAAGATTCATCAGACCAGGCCACCTTCTACCATTGCTTAGTGTTCCAGTTCTGGTGCTCACGTGCCCAATGTAGGAACTTTTGGCTGTGGACACGGGACATTGGCACCTTGACTGGTCAGCAGCTACACAGCCCCATAAACTACAAACTAAAATGCCCATTTTTTTCCAACACATCAACTGTCAGTGATCTTAATGTTATAGTTGATCGGTGGATATTTCCAAGCATACAAACATAACCAGTGCTAGCCCCCAACTTCTCAACTGCCAGTCAGTCTATCACACTATTTCTGTTAGTGCGGTCCAATAGTCTTTGCCAGATTGAGATGCGTATCTGCCAGTACTAGCACTGGAAGAAGAAAAAAAAAAAATTACGTCTTGTAGTCAATTAAGTTATGAAACATTATTCTAATCATATTTAAATATATAATATCTGGGAAAAAGTACGCCCTCCACTATCCATAAATGTGAAGTAGAAAACAAAACTAAGGCGAAAATTATGGCCCTAACAATAATTCCTTTATCCTATATAATAGTGTAAGCTTGAATGATAACACATACAGTAAAAAGATAGAAATGCTTGAATACATGTACCTATCTATGTACACACACATTTTTAGATATGCAGGATCTACTGTTGAATCTTTTGTAACACACTGCTTTCTGCTCCTATGTGATATTCAGAAAGTACACATTTTCTGTCTAAGGCTGTATTAGACTACTACTTCATAGTACATTTGTATCTTCATGTGAAAAAACATCCTCTTCCCTGTGAGTACTTATTGCTCAGAGCCTGGATCTAAAGCCAGCCATTCATGTATTGAAATTTGGCTGGTTCAGCAGGGACCTGCCAAACTGCGATCCACATATGGCCACTGTGGTTGAACAGAAGTCGGTCTACCAATTGGTTTCTGTACAACCATCCTATCGGGTTTTAGGATTTTCCCATCCACCTCGAGTGTGTGGATGGGGGAATCAGGTAATTTTTTCTGCATAACCCACTGGTTGAACCAAAAAAAAAAAAAAAAACGGTTCCTCGAAGGCCAGCTTCAGTGACTAATCCTGACCAGATGCATACAGCATATGAGAGTATCAATCAATTTTCCTGTGTAGTATTAAAAGAGATGTATGGCCAAAACTTTTTATCATATTTCTCTTCTGGGTTAGAGAAGTACACTTACTACAGTTCTGCACTCCTACAACTCAGAATCAGTCGACAGCAGTCTAGGCCTGAGTTTTGTACCTGCATCTCTGACACACTGGGGTAGATTTAGTAATAAGATGAAGCTTCACTTTATAAACAATACCAAATCACATGCTAGGAAAAGGAAAAAGGAACAGCAATAGCCCAATGAATGCTTAGGCTGTCAAAGCATGGATTGCACTATTGTACCTATTAGTAACTGCCTAAAATGACCAAACTAGTTTTCTCTGTTTGTTCGCTGATTCTATGATCAGAATCGGTTGGGAAACGACTTTCTACAGCATAGTGAAAACAAAATAAATATATTCGTGCTATGTTTGTAGTGTGTGGCAGCTGTCACCAATAGGTAATACAACAAACCTTCAAAAGCATAAGAGATTATAAAAATGAAGCTCCACCTAAATAAATAAAATATAAATGGTATTCCATTCAATAAAAATGTGACTAAATCATGAAACTCAGTCCCTATAAAGTTAAAAGCAGTAAAAATCTTGAAGGAAACAGTCCACCACCTTTGACAAATAAGGTAACTCTTCATAGAAAGTGTTCAGAGGTCCACCACCACCTCCCTGTGAATTTCAAATTCACCAGAAACGTGGGCTGACATTACAACAGCAAATATGCCCATGTGTTAAATCCACAAACAGCCAAAGTAAATGTGATAACACCAGTTCCTGCGTCCACATGCACCTCGCAATAGAGCCAGGGCTGTGACAAATAAAGCTCCCTAGGAGCTAAAAAATCTCAAAGTTGTGAGTGGATGAATCTGTTTTTTGAATAAGCAAATGGCGGACAGACTGGAATTTCAAATACCCAAATGTAACCTTGTTTCTTTGGTGATCTTGTGAAAGTTCCTCTTACTATTTTGCAGTGTGAGTTGTTAACACCCCACACTTGTCTTCTTTTTTAGTTGAGACAGAAAACTAGGTGTCCTAACAGGGCTCTGAATCCAAATACCAGCAACTGCTACTCCACCTCCTATTTTCTACAGCAGCCTTCACTAAATGGTGGATCGCGGTCCAGATCCTGGTCTGGACCTTCAGCCTGCAGTGCTGGATTCCCAGTGACCTGCAATCAGTGTTTACTAAGACCACCGACATCCTAGCAACCAATGACATCACATGTGTGCCCGTCTCCCTGCAGCACATTTTTCCTCCCAGTTTCTGCCCCCTACCTGCCTGGCTACAGGACTATATTGGTCAGGAACATTGTGCACTCTGATGGGCTCTACTGATCTGAAGGGAGACTCCCATGGGGGCAACTGGTCTATGGAGGTATACTGATGGAGACAACTGGTCTATAGGGGTACTCTGATTGGGGCAGCAGATCTATGGGGGAACCTGATGTAAAGAGGTATTTTAATGTGGACATCTATGTAAGATGGGGGGCTGATGGGACATCCTATGTATGGGGGGAATTGTGATGGGGCAAATGATTTGAGGGGGGACGCTGATGGGGACACCTAATTTAAGGGAGCACTCTGATGGGGGCAACCAATATATGAGGGTACCCTGATTGGGTTTCTTGATTCATGGGAGTTGTGAGGAGGTGTATAAGGCACATAAAATGGTTAAGGGCTAAGTCTTTAGAAGAATTACTTAAAGCAGAGCACCACCCAAAAGGGGAAGTTCCGCTTTAATCCTATGTCCTCCGCTACCTATTAAGGATTGGCACCTTTGGGGAGCAGGTACCCAAATTTGACACTTCCGCTGCGATTACCTAGGCCATCAGAAGTGGAAGTTGTCCCCTCCCTCCCCATAGTCTTCTGGGGCACGTGACAGGTCCCACAAGACTACGGGGCCATTCACAAAGCGCAGCGCTTCTCGCGCATGCGCAGTGGGCATCCAGTTTTGAAGCCGCAAACTGTCACAGCCGGGTTCCCACACTGAAGAGGCTGACGCCAGGGAGAGAAGACGGCCAGTGAAACCAGCAGTGGTGAGGGCACTGCTGGACCGAGGGACAGGTAAGTGTTTGTATTTTAAAAGTCAGCAGCTACAGTTTTTGTAGCTGCTGACATTTTTTTTTTTTTTTTCAGGTGGAACTCTGCTTTAACAGTCCAAAATATAGTCCAATATAGAGTCCAAAGGGAAATCTCCTATGATCTGCTTCTCACTTGAAGCTGCTATCCCAAAACTAAGAAGTGAACTATTAACAAATGCCAGCAGAAAAAAGGGGAAGCATCATCTAAGTGTAGCAAACCAACATATTTTCTTAAACTCACATACTTACATGTAAAACACTGCAACTTGCTTTGAATAGGGTTTACCCTGTTGTCCTGGGTTCCCACTTTACAATGGGCAGTCGCCACTGTGTCTCTGTAACACAGTAGGAAGCTGGAGCAGTCAATCAAAGCCAGGATATGGAGCATGCGTGCTTCAAGATGGCCTGTAGAAGAAGCATGCATGCTCTTTAACGTGTAAGCACACCCACACACTGCTCCATTCTCCTGGACCAATGTCACTTCCGCTCCTGTCCGGCGGTGCGTTCCAAGCTCGATTGCATGAGTCTTTCCACTGCCTGGCTTTGGTTGTTGGCTCCAGCATCCAACAGCATTACGCAAAGACACAGCGATGGCCCATAGCAGAGCGGGATCCTAGGACTGGGACAACAGCAGTGTTTACCCTATTCAAACGGAGTTCTAGTGTTCTACATGTGAATGCCAATTTGTGAGTTTAATCAAATATGCTGGTTTGCTACTCTTGGATGGTACTTCCCCTTTCTCTGCCCGATTTATGGGAGCACCTGATGTAATGAGGTACTCTGATGGCGACACCTAATGTAAGGAGGGAACTTGATGTATGGGAGTACTCTGATGAGGACACCTTATGTAAGGGTTACAGTAGTTCTATTATTATTAACTTTAAACGTGGATGTGATTGGCCTGCTTTTATTTTTTTACTAAAGAGTTATTTATCTTACATGTTGCTTCTGTTAAAGATAGCTGTTTGTATTCCATACCAATACAAGAACAAATGTAAAGCCATCAAATTTGAAACTGTCCATATGTTTAATGTCATAAAGAAAATTGACACTAAATATTGTTGAAATGCTATGAAAATTGTACATTTCTCATTTTTTGATAGACATAGTGACTACATCCTGTGTCAAAGCACATACATGAGAGTCGGATCTCAGTTGGAAGAAAATTTTAGTGACTGGATGTGATCAACAGTATGCTCTGCATCATACAGCCCCTTCCTTTGCAATCCTACTGCAAAAAAAAAAAAAAAACAATATGTTGTTTTTTTGTTTTTGCTGAAATGTATCTCATATACCAGTTAGCCAGACAGTGCATCCACGAAAGCCACTTCTTGTACCGAGAACTTGACCTCTCTTGTTCCTGCTGACATGGTGAGCTTGGTAAGTAACGTTGGTGGCCCGCTGCATCCCCTAGAGAAAAAGAACACATTACAGGTAAGAAGGTCGATTTGTTAAAAAAACAAATCAGTGTTTTACATACAAGCTGCAGTTTTAAAAGCTCTTGCCTCACATTGCAGTATGCTATTGTACAAAGTGTAAAAAGAGGTGAGAGATCCAGAAAAATGTAAGCAATAACTTCTGCTCACTAGTAACCTCATATTGTCATTACAGAAGTTTAGCCAATGATCCAATGTGCAATGCTCTTAAAGGAAAATCTGACATTGAAAAGCTATAATGTGCGAGAACCTAAAAGTGTCTGTTGTCTGCAGACTCTAAAGCCTCATTCACACTGGCACTGTCAAAATTGAATTTATATGTATTTAGAGGACATTTCTAAACACATATAAAATGTACTTAATTTAATTTTCCAATGTGTCATTCACTGTTCATATACCTGCTTTTAAATAAAATAGAATTCTGTGTGTCCAGGATCTGATTAGAAGCTATAAACACTCCTAAACTCAATGCAGAATCTAAACTCAGAAAAAAAAGTGATCTGGGAGACATAAGGCCCCTTTGCACACAAGGCCATCTAGGTGCAGTGCATTCCTCCCTGCATTTTAGTGCACCTAAGGGCTCATGTACACTGCAGCTGATAAACTGACATTCAGGAGCTTTTCTGCGTTTTTTTTCAGCAGTCCCTGAACTCTCCCTAATGTTTTCCTATGTGTCCATGTACAAAGTCATTTACAGGCAATTCAGTTTACAATCGTTTCTTTAAACGCACCAAACTTGCATTCAGGAGTAGATTTTATCAGTGTTTCAAACGCCAAACGCTTGCAAATGCAGCTAACCGCGTTTATAAGCATTTTTTAACTGTTACATATCCAAATGCTGTCCAGAGCCTTTTTTCATCATCAGAAATGCATGCAAAGTGTTTTTCATGTATTCAAATGGACCCAGTACACCAGCGCAGTCAGTTCCAGGTTTTGCGTGAAGGAAAAAATGGTAGAACGTGCTGCATTATGCTCATGATGGGATCCATAGTGAATACAACCAGAAAAGACAGCTCAACAAAATACTGCTTCTCTCTCTTTCTCTCAAAATGTCTGAAATAGTTCATTTTTGACTGTTTTTCAGTGCATTCTGGGCATTTTGAAGGTCTGAAGTTATTTTTAAAAAACGCTTCTAAACGCAAAACGCACATAAACGTGGTATGCAAACGCAGCTAAACAGACATTTTTTTAACCTACGTTTTCCAGCAGTCAGTTTCCATCATTCAGAAGTGTCCTGTGTACATGGAGCCTTAAGGCGGCCATAGATTTCCGAATTATCGGCCAATTTAAAAAAAAAAAAAAAAAACGGCCGATATTCGTACCATTAGTGGGGAAAAATGTTGGCCGTTTTTCTTAATTTTAAGAGATTTTGAAAATCGTCCAAGCTGGAAAATCCTGGGATGATTTGTTAGATCGGCCGATTTTCGCTGTAATTTATGGTCAAATCGGCCGTTCTTCTGGCCGATTTGACAATAAATTGACTATGAAGCAAAAGAAGAAATAGAAGAAATAGATTTTGCAGGAGAAGAAGAAATAGAATATCAAGAAGTAGAATAGAAGAAAAGAGGAGAAGATGAAATAGATTTTGCAGAAAAAGCCGGAGAAGAAAAAAGTTGCAACATTGCATCTATTTGTATGCATTTCGGATACAGATGTTTCTATTCAAGTACAAATAGATACAATGTTTTTTCTCTTCTTCTTCTTCTGCATAATCTATTTCTTCTGTCAAATATAATAGCGGGTCTCTATGCAGGGACACCGCTATTATATTAATTGACGGCCGTAGACGGGACTAAACCCGCCGACCTTTTTTTTTAATTAGTGGCAACGTCGGCCATCTGAACAACCGATTTACGACTTTAAAAAAAAAAAAAAAAAAACGCTGATTGTCACCAAGCAACAATACTTTCAGCTAGTCAGTGCTAATAAAAACCAGCCTCACAATTTTAGCTCTTACCAACTTAACGCTCCTTCTACCCAAGCATGGAATCCAGCAGCATATGCATCAACTAAGTTCTGCCCATTCCCTGTACAGTTGCGACAGACTGCCATTTCTTCTGAAGTCCCCCGCTTTTTTTGGCTTCTAATGGAAGGAGGCTTCATTAACCCCTTCCCACCGCCTGTAAACATATATGTGGCCTCACAAAAGTGGGTCTTCTTCCATGGGGCCAAATATGCATATATACACACCTGTGTGTGTGCTCCCAGAAAAGAGAGCCCTTAGTCTTGTACTAATGATTGGGAATTGGGAGACCTGATTCCTGATCACTATAATAGCCAGTGATTGGCTATCACAGTGATCAGTCATTGTTCAGCCCACCCCTGTGGTTTTCTTTTTTTTTTTTCTCCTCTTGAATAGAGAAAAGGTTGTATTGTATCTTATTCTCCTTGCTAGAGGAGAAACATGTAAATAAAATAACAGAGTGTGAAAACATAAATAACAAAAAATAAAGAAAAATAGCTAAATCAGGGTTTAATCTAGGTCAGTGTTAGGGTCAAAGGTCAAGGTAGGGGTCTGGGTCAATGGTCAAAGGTCAGTGCATTTTAAGTAGGATAAATAGAAAAGCATTTAATAAAATTAGTGTCAGTGTATTTTAGGTAGGAAAAAAAAATGCAAAATGTGCACCATTGTTTCTGGGCCCTACTATGTGTACAAACAAATAACATGCACATATGTAGTATTGCTGCGATCACAAGGAGCAGAAACATTTAATTTGGTTCGTTCTTTGGTGGTAGTTTATGGTAATAGCAAGAAATTTATACAGCTTTTTTGTTTTTTTTATCATTTAGGGCCGTTTTTTTTTTATTAAAAAAAAAAAAAAAAAAAAAAAAAGCTGGAGATCCACATTATGATTTACCACTAAACAAAAGGCCAACATGTCTTGAAAAGAAAAAAAAAAAAAATCACTCTTTCATTTACTACCTGAGCTGAAATTAGAAAAATGTCAGTAGTAAGTAGATTGTGTTGCAATATTTTCAGAAAATGATAAATATAGTCAGGCGTTTGTCAGCTGCTGGTTTAAGATGCAAAAGATAAAAGCAGGCTCAGAAACTGAGTGAGCACAGAGAAATAATATGTAAAAGAGGAAAGAAAAACATTTTATTGGTGGAAAGCTAAAATAACTTCCTGAAAGTTTTTTTTCCCCAGACTGAACTAGTTTTAGCAGAGATGATGTGATTCCAGTCGCAGTACACAAAGACCTTGTAAAGATGCACAGAAAACAAAAAACCCAGTGTTCATGTACTTATACCCTGCAACTGCAAAATCATTTCCATAAGAAATCAGCCAGCAACACATCATATAATATTTTGAGTTCAAATACTGGTGTGTCCGCAGTTCATTCTTCACCTTGCAGTATAAAGTAATGGCAGATGGGAAAAAAACCTAACTTCAAAATGCAAAAAAGAAAAGCTCTGGCTCCTGTGTCAGTGAGTGGCTGCTGCAGGGGAGAAGAAGGAGCACCAACAGCAGTTAGGCCTTGGAAGCCTATGAGTGATGTTGTGCCTCCAGGAATTCACAGCTACCTCTATCTCTAATTTCAAAAGTTTGAACAACCTGAGGATAGAAGCAGATTGGGTGCCATGCACTGCTCCAGATTCGGTCTGCTCCAGTTTTGATAAATCCCCCTCACTGCATTTTGGATTCCTCACTTGATAAGGGGCAATCTACTTTTATTTTATTACCCTTGATAAAATAACTTTTTACTTGCTCCCTCATAAAGAATTTCTTCCAATGGCTACAATCACACAGTTGGATGCAGAAGGACACCTAACATTGTTTGTCAGGCAGCGTTCCACCTCTGAGCAAACGAAAAACAAAAAGAGGGCGCACAGGCCTAGTGCATTATCATAAAAAATATTTATTGAAAGGATAAAAAAGTAGGTATACTCACAATGAACATATAAAAACACAGGCACATCACAATGAACAGTGGTGTTCAATCCATATAGCATATAAGTCCACAACGATGGAACCCTGAATGACCAACTGGCTGCCGCGTTTCGAGGACTCAGCCTCTTCCTCAGAGCCAACCAAGTGTTCCACCTGTAGCTCGGGTTGCTATGCTATTCCAACCTCTCACCCTCTGAACACTGATGGGATGCTTACAATGGTAAAATCTTTATCCCAAAAGGAAAACAAAAAACTGCTGCTGTAACTGCTTATAAAGTGTTAGCTCAGATATGGCTTTAAATTTCTGTCAAGTCCATCTAAAGCAATTCCATAACACTACCCTCCGCCTATAGTTACAATGCTGTAATAACAATGATCAACAAACAAATCAATAACAATGACTAAGTGCCATTAAGCGTGACACGCGTTAACATCTCTCCTGCTTGAACCCTCATTTTGTGTGCTATGAGCTTTTATAATTGCTAGTAAGAATAATTATTATGGCCCAGCGGAGTGTGTAGCCATTCTCTTCAATTGAAGGTCTTAGAAGAGTCCTGGTTGTGGCACACATCTTCCATTTGAGAATTATGGAAGCCACTGTGCTCTTGGGAACCTTCAGTGCAGAAGAAATTTTTTTAGCCTTCCTCAGATCTGTGCCTCACAATAATCCTGTATCTGAGCTCTGTAGGCAATTCCTTTGACCTCATGGCTTTTTCTCTGATACAGTATACATTGTCAGCTGTGAGGCTTTTTGTAGAGAGATGTGTGCGCCTTTCCAAATCATGTCCAATCATTTTAATTTACCGCAATTGGAATCCAATCAAGGTGTAGAAACATTTCATCAACAATCAAGAAAAATGGGAGGCTCTTGGGAATCTTCAGTGCAGAAGAAATTTTTTTGTACCTTTCTTAGATCTGTGCCTAACAATAATCCTGCCTCTGAGCTCTGTAGGCAGTTCCCTTGACCTCATGGCTTTTTCTCTGATTCAGTATACATTGTCAGCTGTGAGGCTTTTTGTAGAGATGTGTGCGCCTTTCCAAATCATGTCCAATCAATTTCATTTACTGCAATTGGAATC